TGTTAATAGTCTTTTATTTATTGTCTTAATTTTTCTGTTTTTATTGTGAAGCACTTTGGTGTACTACTGGTCTAATGTGCTATACAAATAAAGTTGTATTGTATTGTATTGATGTCCCAGGCCGGCATGGAGGAAATGTTACAGCCAATGTGCAGCCATCTCAGACAATGGCATCCTCAGCCATATTCCCCTCCATACAGTACACAACATCAGACTCTTTTAGACACTCTTCACTGGGACATAGTCCCTGAGAATGAGAGGGGTGGAGGCCAACTCAACAAGTATGTTGTTGTTTGGAATAATGTCACTTTTCAACACTCACACATGGTCACACAGTGGTTTGCAGCACATGACAGAATGCTGGTTGAATAGCTCCCTCCCTACTCCCCACTCCTTAATCCGATAGAGAAGTTTTTCTCTGCCTGGAGGTGGGAGGTTCATGACCGACATTCACATGTGCAAATGGCCCTGCTAGCATGGATGCATGTGACGACATCACAGCAGAGTCATGCAGAGGGTGGAGTCGCCACTCCAGGAGATACTTTCCTCGCTGCATTGCAAGGAATTATATCTGTTGTGATGTAGATGCAAGTATGTGGCCAGACAGACAGGAACATCTGGATGTGCCAGAGTGACTCATGTGTGTTCAGTTACAATATGCACTGTTGTTCACATTTGTGCACAGCTCATGCACAGTTTCTCATGTTTATTCTAAATAAGTGACTGTAGAGTATTTTTCTTTGGCACAATAAAAATGTGAAACACGTATTCAGTGTCTTGTACTCACTTCCCTAACTACAGGAATGTCTAACTTTACTGTAGATTTTACTGTACACAGCTGTACAAACAGTGTGTAGTGCTGTCTTGAGCCTTTTCAGGTAGTGTCACCGAGTTCTGACCTTTTCTTGGAAAACACTGAGAGAATACTGAACACTGTCATAATGACAACATGACAAAGCTATTTGACTTTGTTGTTCATCGAGATGGTGTCACGACTTCACATTTTGGTGACACTGGCAGTGTCACTGATATGAATACTTGCTTTTCAGGAATGGATTATCGATTTTGAGCAAGTGACCTGCTCTTGCAGGTTATCCACTAGGTTTTGCAGTTTGCACCAATTGTTTGGAGAAACACACTAACTGCTGTGCAAATGTTAATAGTGATGTGAGAAAAGCACCAAAGCGACTGAGAAAAACTGTAAACATTTGTCGTGGGCTCTGAGGTTTGTATTATAGGTCCTGAATTCCTGTGGAAAAAGTTCTTACAGCGTATATGTAAAAAATACTGAACTATGATATCACATAAAAACTATTACTGCAGGACATTTGTTCAGTAGGCTCCAATAGTTTGGATCAGATCTATTCATTCAAACTGACAACACTGTAGATTTAGTTAGAGGGGTATGGCGTTATTTTTGTGCCACTGAGCGCATGTAAAAAAAATTTGCATGTGCAAGTGTTGCATTTTGAGGAGAAATTAATTTTGAGTGAAGAAAATTCATTGCTGCGTGCAAAAACTGTATTTCAGTGTTTGCTGTGTTGCAATGTGTTGCTCGCGCTCTCAACATTTCTGCCCGTGCGCGCTC